CAAGATGCCTGATCAACTCGTGTTGTTTCCCTCATTTTCGTTTTTTAGATATTGATGAATGTGCAACTGGGAAAAACCAGTGTCCGTTCAACCGTCAGTGCACCAACACGTTTGGAAGTTACTACTGCAAGTGCCAGACGGGTCACGATCTCAAATACGTCAGTGGAAAGTACGACTGTGTTGGTAAGAAAGAAACAGTGTGACTTGCTTTTGTGATTGACTGAATGCTGTAACAGAGCGAGGCAGTCACATTCTGGGAGCCAAAATTTGTTGAAGTTGTAAATGAAACAACGATTATTGGAGTACATTTTACAAGAACATACCATTTTCGTCTTTCTACTTCAAAATGTCACAATTCAGTGTGCTGCTTGCCATTTCTTTGTAATTATTTGTGAAGTTTACTAGGAATTTCTGAATTTCTGAGTGAAAAAGTAAATGCTATCATTTTTTTAAGTGTATGAAGCTTGAAGTTGTTCTGAACTCTGAAGCAGAAGTTTATGGAAGCTTGTTTCCACCACGAAAAATATATATATAATTGTGATTTTTTTATCTAAAAATTCTGACTTTTTTCTCTCAATTCTTCTTCTTCTTCTTCAAAAAAAAAAAAACAAAAGTCAGAATTGCGAGATATAAGTGCAGAATTGAGATATTACCTCATAATTGTGAGATATAAATTCACAATTGGGAGAAAAAAAGTCAGAATTATGAGATAAAAAGTTGCAATTGCCTTTTTATTTTACTTTTTTTTAAGTCTTTGTTTATTTTTTATTTATTTACTTTTTTCAACTTGTAATTATCAAATACATTTTTGCTTTAAATCAAATATCATATTGTGATTCTTCTGGAGCTGGTTGTTTGGTTCATGGATCTGAACTCAGAATCAGAAAGATGCTCAGGAAATGTGAAAGAATAATTTGTGAGTGATTCATGCTTTATTTTATGCAAAATAATGAAACTGAATGTCGTTTCTCAGATATTAATGAATGCGTGTCCAATACACATAAGTGCAGTCATCACGCCGAGTGCATCAACACTCATGGATCCTACAAGTGTAAATGCAAGCAGGGTTTCCGTGGCAGTGGATTTGATTGTTCAGGTGAGAGACCAAATCAAACCCGAAAGCAATGCTTCAGTGAACTTACATTCATAAGATGCAGTTTTATAGATTGCAATGGTTGATTTTGGCTGAAATATACACTAGTGATGAGTTTGGACACACTGACCGAATGTATGTTTCTCATGATCTTAAAGACCTTAAATTCTTCAATGCATGAAATTATTTTTGTAGAATATAAATATAAAATAAAATGCATATGTGTGAACTTCTTTACAAAATTAAAATGCTACAATGCACTTCATGCAAACTCTTAAATAATGAATGATTATATATATATATATATATTTTTTTTTTTTCTAGTGCAAAATATGCAAAATAGTCAGTGAGCAGCTGTGTCCAAACTCTTGACCTCTAGTATATATTTTGCATATGGATGTATAATTTCATTTTGAGCTCATTTGTGTGAATATCTGTTTGTTATTAGCCAGGAAAGAAAAATCTGAAGGAAACATTAGCAGCTCTAAAGCGTTTCCTTTAAAGAGCCTTCTGAATTTCACAGGTGTCAGGCAGAGAGAGTCTGCGATTGAAATCCCACCTGTGTAAATATCTGCGTTTGTACCGAACACACTGAAGTGAAGGCCAAAGGAAACGCTTTTTCCGTACTGTCTATCTGCACAGACGCCAGAGCTGCACTTCTTTAGAAATGAATGAGGGTTTACACTATTAAAGGAATAGTTCATCAAAGCATAAAACTTTGCTGAATATTCTCTCCCCCTCAGGCCATCCAAGATTAGGATGAGTTTGTTTCTTCAT